CTATTCGCTGACCAAATTAGTCATTTCAGCTTCTTGATTATCTTTTGCTTGAAGGGCTCCTTATATCTTTGCAAATAATTTCTATAGGAGACTGCTAGTGGGACTAATTCCTCAGGAATAAATCTTTAACTCGTGTTTTGCCTTGTTCATTTTTTATAATATGCTTTATCTTTTTTAATATCTCTTGAACATTTTCAACTTTTAAATGAGCTTGTTATAGAGACGAAAATCAGTATCCTTATCTCGTAGTAAATCGTTTCCTTTTTCAGGTAAGTGTTTTTGATCATTTGATTTTGCATATTTAGAAAAAATGCGTACATTATTTAAAAAAATTTTTTTTGACAGGCCATCATTTTAGATCATAAATATGTATTACAAGCTGAAACAGATGTGGATAATGGAATTGGAAAAAAGGATGATCTGAAACCTTGTCACAATTCAGTGAATTTTGATGAGTTTTCTGATTTTAGTGATGAATTCGAGAATGAAAGTCTGTCCAAGGTTAATTTCACAAATAAATAAAAGGATTCGGAAAATTTTTGATTATTATTTTGTTCATGGAAAAATTTTCCAGTATCTATGATATTTTCTAGACTAATACACCGAAAGCAAACATAGAGCATCAATTTTCGAGCACTGGTAAGTTTTATAAATTGATTCACTCCTATGCTTCATCATTTTTGCAAGGGAAGTTAGATCATACTTACCATTATGATGTATAAATCACAGAATTGAATAAGCGGCTATGACGACTGTAAAGGTCATTAACAGTTGTCAGCAATAAATAGTGAAAAAATTCATTGCTCATTTCATTAATAAACTCATCAGAAATTTGGTAATTGAAATTCTTGAGAATTTGACATCTGTGGTAATCTATAACCATTGTTCTTATAGTTGATGACGAATTTTCATCATCCGATGAAACTGCCTTTTCACCAACTAATGATACTGATTTTCCGCTATCCAGGAAAGAGCTGATACAATATCAATAATGTCCGTTTGAGTGGTAAGATTTCCAAAATTACAGTACTTTTTTTTCATCATTCTAACAAAAGTGAATGCTATCATAGCTTACATTCTTTGGTCTTAATTCTTGAAATCTCATTGTTCAAGTAACTATCTATTTTGAACCTAATTAGTAAGTTATATTCACTGATGTTAATGCCAATTAGTTTTTATATCTCCTTATAATCCTTAATTTCAAAATTATTCTGAATTAAAATGTTTTTTCAGAATTAATTACCAGCTAATCTTGTTCATTAGGTTTGAGTTAGCAATTGAAGTTGAAAAAAGAAATTGATTGATAAGCAAAGGATTTTTTAAATCTGGTTTTCAGGATGTGAATATCGATTTCATAACAGATTATTTTCCGAAAATAACATTTGTGCATTTGTAAGTTGGATTTGAAATTGAAATATGACTATCATTTTAAAAGAATGTTGCCACTTCATTACTTCTACAATGATTTTTTTGAACTCAATACTGGATCATTGATTTATCCCACAAAGTGTTCAGTTGTGATCCAATATCAAGTTATAACGTATCTGTGATATTTGATTATGATAACCAAAGAGTAGAGAAGGACGATATCAATTCCTGTTATGTGAGTTTTATAAATTTAATTTTTGAATCGCATAATTTTTGAAGTATCAGTTCAGAATCCATTTCGAGGAATCAAATCTTCATCGAAATAAGGTTGTAAAAAATGCGAAATATTTGAGTGTTATGCTCTTTTTTTCCTTTCTAACTTATAGCTGTTTAAAAATTGTTGGAATAATTAGTAATATTTGGAAATACAAAATATTTAATTAGTTGTCTTGGAACTTTTAACTTTATCTACTTGGACCACTGTCAATACAATTTGCTTGTTTTCAGGTTTATTTTCTACCGTTGTTGTAACTATATGATATATTTGTTCGTATGCGAACATCATGAAAAATTTTCATTACGCTAGTCATCAAATGATTCTTTTTATTTTTTTTCATTAATTTAACTGCCAGTCTTTGAAGCAAAATGATTTTTAAATCTTCCTTGAGCTTGTTGCTCTTTTTTTAATAACTAATATTTGATGCGTCTAATAAACCATTTATTGAAGCAAATTTATTTATCTTATCTTCTATGTTGATTTTTTCTTTCTACTAATTCCTTGTTTCTGTTAGTGCCGAATTATCTTAAGATCTCGTTTTTGTTATATTTGTTTGAACTTATGACGGTGATTAGTTTTTCTTCCACTACAGTATCCTGTTCTAGTAGTTTTCAAAATTTTCATTTAATCAATGTCTTAAATTATTCATATGTAATTTTGACTGCCAAATATTAATTTTGTTTGTAATAGAGAAGGGTGATATTACATATAATAGAGGTTTTTTCTTTTTATTGACGATATGTTTATTTCGTTTAAATATTGCAATATTTTGTTTTATAGCCTTTTAGTCTTATTTATGTTCATTCCGATGCACTGATTTATTTATTCATTTTGTTTATTTTTTGAACTCTGTACTATTCAAATAATTTTTGTTTATTTCTCCCAAAATAATACATTTTTTCCTTTTTGTTTTGTTTTTTTATTGTCACGAAGTATATTTCTGAAGTTTGTTATATTTTTGAAAGTGAATGCATCAATAAAAATACGTTTTTTGCTCTAAAGTTGTTTCAGAAAATACGATTCCTTTAAATGGATGTTCAATTATTTTGATGACGAATATATTTTTTTTATGAGATGCTTAGTATAGCATTAATAATATGCTTGCGAATACAGAAATTAACAAAGTTAATGGGTTATTACAACATTTCCTTTTTTATTTCTGTTCTGAGATTGAACTTGCTTCCTTTGCAATTGTTCTTTTTTCATTTTTTGGACTCTTTTGTGGGAGAGAGAACTTAATTTTTCTATCACTGAATCTAACTTTTGATTAGTAATATAGAATCGCTGAGTTATCACCATATCCATTTCATCCAATTTTAAATTTTTAGATTTTATCGTTTATTTTTAGTTACGCAGTAAACTGTAATACATCGGATTGACATTTGTGTATGTAATGATATGATATCTTCGTTTTATTTTCTTTGTTTAAAAGATTGAATTGCCAATTGGTATTACTCTTAGCCTAATTAATCAAGTCATGCCTCATTCAACTCAAGCCATCCAATCAAGTAAGTATTTTTGTTAAGCTATAATAAACGCCTAATGCATTTTGATATTTTACATTTGAAGCACGTTGTTCATAGGAATTTCTTTCTTATATTTCCATATATTTTAATTATCTTAGCAATTATAATACATTTCTTCAATATAGCTCCCAGAATGTTTTATTTTTTATTTCCATTGGATTCAGTTATTGAATTCGATTTCTAATGTTTCAGTTTACATTTCAGTTGCACAAATCATTAAGGATTTTACAAGTTGGCAAAGACAATATGAAATACATAATGAACAAGCAAATAATGGTGCTTTTGTCTTAGGCATTGCTGGCTGTTCAAATAGCGGTAAAACAACATTTTCGAAAATATTGTCCACTGCGGTAAGATTTGTGATAAATTTTTCCTCGATTATATTTTAAAGACAAAAGCTGTCTTCCATTTAGGATTGTTTAGAAAATAGCTGTTGATTCTTTCTAACTCATGTTACAAGTAAAATGGAGGATAGTTAAGGTTACAGTTTCTCAAGAACAGTGAAAAGAAATCGTCGAACCATTTACTAAAATTTACTATAAAATAGTTTGCTACCATTCTTCAACTGACCAAGCAGCTAAAAATTTGTGCTTGTGATTTAAGCCTAGACTACAACTAACTTTAAAATCTAAATAGAATAACACTTTCTCTTCGATACATTTTTTTGCTCATTATAAAATTACAAAAAGTTATGTTTTTAAGCTGATTAACGAAGGTATGCGAACAGCAGTGATTTCTCAGGATGAATTTTATTATCCAAAAGAACAACTTGAACGTGTTGTAAGCCGCGGAAATCCAAAAATCATATTTTATAACTATGATACAGTAAAAGCGGTATATTTAAGTTTGATTTAATTTATTTATTTCAATATTTCGCTTAAGGAATTATTGGATGAAACTTCAGAATAATTTTTGCATTGGGTAAAAATTTGTTCTATTTATGAATTTTCATACAAAATTTTTAAGAAATTTCCAAAAAATCCAAAAATGCTCTCATAATGCTCTTTTTTTGGTTATTGTTAAAACACGGTTATGTTTGAAATAGATAATGCATATGAATATTGAGATTTGCATTTTAAATCATAAATTTTATGATGAAAGAATCTGAAAAATCTCTCAACCTTTAATTTCTAAAAGTGAGAAATTGCTTGATACTCAATTTTTAATTTTCATTTAGCATTCTTTTCAGTTAAACACGGATAAATTCCTGTTGAGTTTGCAAAAAGCAATTATTACGAACGATTTTGTAATTGTTGAAGGAAGTATGATTATGGAAATCGACAGTTTGCGCCAACTGTTGCACCGGTGCATTTTTATTACGCTAAGTCATACTTTGTGCGAACAAAGGCGTGCAGATCGTCAACATGACTTTGCGGACTTGCCTGGGTATTTTTCTATTCAAAATTTAAATTTATTAGAGTCAGGTGTTTGTGAATTTCACTTTATATGACTATAAGAAAAGCTTGAACTTTCAAAATTTCAAGAGCGAAGTGCGTTTTCATCCAAAAAAATTACAAAATAATTAACCTTCGGTCTTTTAAAGATTAATGTCTAGGCTTAATTTCAGGCCAGTTTTTATCTCTTTTCTCTCCCTCTTTCTCTCTCAAAAAACTAATTTATCAATTCTTTGATTATTTGCTCGTTAGCTAACAAAAACCTACTTGGTGGATTGAAATACATTGTTTAGTGGAATATCTTAAGTCAGCTCATGTGAAATACTGTCCAAAATTCGTCCATTCATGCAGTGATTATTCTGATGATTACGATAATGGTTATCCATATTGGAAAAAAAGGTTATTTAAATTAGAGGATTGGGTTGTGGCGAAAAGATTATTCAAAGGCTTTCTGAAACATCTTAATAGAATATTGAACAAACAAAATGATTGCTATTCAATTGCTGAATAAATATTTTTTAAATTATTATCCTATCGAATTTTAGATACATGAAAGAAATTGTTTGGCCTGCATACAGAAATTATTTAGCTAATGCCTACAATCTTGCTCGTCATTCACCAGCTGTTGTTTTTGTTGATGGAAATACTGAAAGATTTTCTAGTGAACCGGAAGTGAAAGCTGTAAATTTCAGTTGTTCTTAACTTCTTGAAGTTATCATCCTACATTAATTTTTCTATCATTTTTTCTCATTTTGAAATAAATCACGATTTTTTGTAACTTTTTTTTGCAACTAACTTTAAAGTACAAAGAGACTTAGATTTAAAAAATAAATTTAATTGAAACTATAAGGATTCCTTTGTTTCAGTTATTTTCAAAACTGTCCAAAAATTTATTATTAATTCAAGCTGATGAACTTCAATTATCTTATGTTCTTAAATTTGTTAACAAACCAAAAAGTGGCGGAATATCGGTATTTTTGGGTTAGTGTCATCAAAGATTTCTGATATATCATATTGCTAATAATCGTTTAGTTTATTATTTGTGCAGATACTTTAATGTTAGTATATTGTTTTGTTTGATTGTGATGTCTAATTTTGCATTTTCCACTTTTATTTATTTTTTTTTGAAAATTGATGTAATTAAGATTTGATGTGATTAAGAGAGCTCTATGTGTTATTTGAGTGTTTTATTTTTGTTTATTTATTTATTTTTTGTTTATGCTTATTATTTTGTTTATGTTTGGTGTGACTCATAGTAGAAAGATTTCATGTGTGTTAGTTATAGCATTAGAAAAGAAGATGTGATCTGACAATTGTGAAGATTACAGTATTTCATCACGCTTAATATTATAGTTGTTTTTAAATTTTATTACTGATTTGTCACCTTATTACTTTTCATAATTGAAACTTAATATGAAATTTGTGTCAAAATTATTTTTATAGGAACAACAAGGGATAGTTTTGGTGATAAACAGGTTATCCGATTAGAATTTGAAGCATACGATGAAATGGTATATAAAGAGTTAGACAAATTATGCAATGAGTTACGAAAAAGCTACCCTGAAGTTGACAGGATCGCATTGATTCATAAAGTAGGGTAAGTTTTATATTTGCAACTAAGAGTAAAGCAAGGTAGAATTTCCAGTAAATAGTACATGATAGCAATAGTCTGTTAATGTTAATATCAATAGGAGAATTACGTGGTGCAAATAATCCGTCGGGATTTCGGGAAATTTGTAACTGGCCTCCATTTGGTGATTTTTGAGTTAGGATGAATTGTGATTGGTCACAAAATTATCTTAAAATTAATTGTAGATTTTATTGTTTTATGAATAACTGACGACAGTTTGTGAAATTCATTATTGTGAAGATTTACCAATGCTATTATACTTCTGTTTTTAACAATTGTTTTTTTTATTTTTAATTCTTTCCTTCTTTTTTCTTTGCGACTGTTTTTCTTGACATTTTATATGTCCATTTCAGAAAAGTATTTGTTGGAGAAACATCAGTAATAATGGCAGTGAGTGCACCTCACAGACGAGATGCATTTCGAGCCACCGAGAAAGGAATCGATTATTTGAAAGATCGAGTTCCTATTTGGAAAAAGGTAAAGAGAGTTCTAATTATTGAAATAAGCAGTAAAGTTTTTCATATCGTTCATTTTTACCATGCTAATAATAACAAATTTGATTCTTGAGCAAATTTATTTAAAAGTTTGAAAAAAAAACAATATAGACTAAGCTTTAACAAGTGCGCTAATGTTTTTTAGAGGAATTTTGAACATTGTAGAGAATGTAGAAAGAATATATATATTCAGCAATTCAAATCCTTTGATTTTTTAAATTTTGTTTAGAAAAAATTTTTTTTAACGCAAACAATGGGTTTTTTAATTTGAATTTTCTTCTCCAATTTGAGGAGGTTTATTCGGATGATACTTATTGCTGGAAAGGAAATTCATGATGATTTAAGTACTGCAAGGAACCAGTTTATCATAGAAGTGTATGGATTTACAGAATATTAATTGTATACCAAAAATCCTAAATGTAGATTCTGTTTCAATTCTGTTATAATTTTATACTGTCATTTTAAATTCAGTGCTACAACTATATGAAAGTATTTATTTGATATTATTTCAGATATTGTTGGATCTTTAGCCTTCCAGAGTTTTCTGTTCTTGGTATACTAAGATATAAAGTTTGTAAAAAATTTGTTTTATCATTTGGATTGCATTTTATTTTTATCAAAATTTTTATTAAAAAATTGTAGATTTTATTAAAAATTTTCTGAACAGTTTGCATGTCGATCATGAAAAATAGATAAATGAATTTAAAAAAGCAAGAAACACAGGTATGTGGAAAAGCATCGAGAGCAGGAACCTTTATTTATGTGTTTTTTTGATTGCTTGCTTATTAACATCTTTGCTCTATATTTAGTTCTTTCTTTTAGTTACCTATCTTCCACATTTCTTGATGTTCTCTTCATCTTTTACATTTTAATTATCGATTTATTCATGCATATCGAGCAAATCTGCCTCAAAGCTAATGTCACTTTAACTATTTTGTTATTAGCACTCATTTATTGTTTCGTTTATTGCTTCCATTTTCGTTTTTTATCAATCTCAGGTGTTTTACCTTTCGTCTTGAAAGAAATAAAGAATTATTTTTTCTCAAGAACAGAATTTTCCGAAAACTTTACAAAATAATCGCGGATTTTGCGCATTTTTATTTTAGATTTATACACATGTCAAGAATGTTAATTTTAAATTTCAAAAAAAATGTGAAACTTAAAATTGCATATGCAATTTTCACGCATTGAAAATTACCGTATCTAAAATTACACTATTCAGATTGAATGAATTAACATGCAAAGGTTCATAATTTCTTTTCATCGGCGGTTTTTAATTTTACGGACGTGAGAGGATGTGTAAATGAAGGTCAAATCTTTATCTCGGAAATAATCTTTTAATGTTTGAATTTTCACATTATATGAAATAGAAAATTGTCTTTGTAATGAATTTCAGGTGGGATGTGATATATTTCGAATGTTTCTCTCTTCTTTTTGTCTAATCAATTGAAGAAAGTAGAAGAGAAAATGAGTGGAATGAAACGTTTAATAATTCAATTTATTTTATGTTATTAAAATAATAGAAAGAAACGGATCAAAAATAACTTGATGAAATGAAGGAGAGAAAAAGAAAGAAGAATGAGCAAGAAATATATACATATATAAATAAAGTTACTTCTGCAATAGGTAATCAGCAAATTCATCATAGAAAATGATCATATGAAATGATCAGAAAAGATATTCAACGATCTTTCAGTGCGCAAATGATCAGTTTGTTAAAACTTGATTAATTTAACTAAACTACCTAATAATAAAATTTATGAAAAAAATTGATTACACTTTTCTTTTTAAAATGATCATTTTCGCTCATTGTACTAAATAATTGCATAATTTTGACAATTAGAAGAAGTTGAAAAAGCATATATAAATTATTTACCTATCAAAATGCATTATCTAACTTTCGAGAGTATTTGTACATTCTCATTTACTTAATCGTTTTATCCTGTGAATTATCAGACAAAATGAAATTATGCAAACAGAAAATGATAACTTTTAAAATTGCTACAAATGAAATATTCCTTTTTTTTTAAATTTTCAAAAGGTTTTAATCTTGCTTGCTTTTTTAGTTAATTTTATATGGTGTGATGACGTTAAAATCATTTTCTCATTCAGCAATTTTTTATAACTCCTCTTGATGTGTCACTCTTAAAATTTGCTATTCCAAAAAAGCATTCAGGTGGTATATCAATTATGACTAAGTCAGTCCCTGCATGATGCATTCTCATATTCACTACCACTACTATTTTTTAACTGTCTCTTTATTAATCTTTCCCATTACTTTTTATTCATTCATTTTTTTTTCCTACTAGCTTGGAGAGCCAAACTCTCTCTCTGCTAATACCTATTCGGAATGAGCTTATATATAAATAAAGGCTTTTCCTTCTTCATTCATCGGCCTTCCTCTGTCTTTGCATTTTGAATCCTCAGTTTTTGAGCCTGTCAACTTTTGCTCAAAAATATCTCTCCATTCTTAGCAGTCTTTTTTTCTAATCCGTCATTTCTCATGCTAACTAACATTTTCACTTAGCTACTTCTACTTACTTTTTTTTTTCATTACTTCATCCCGGTTACTAGAAATAATATTTCGCTAATTTTCTTTTCTTTCTTTCTTTTTTTTTTACAAGTGATATTTAATAGGTATCCTTCGTAATTGATCAAATACAAAAATCATTATCAGCCCAGAGTTTCTTTAATTAATGATTTCAAAGCATTTTAAATTTTATGAAATTTCTTTCTTAACTTTACTAAAAATTCAGGTGGAAAAATCGATACATTTTAATTACTCCTTTATGTACCTTTTTTAATTTTGCATGATCTTCTTCTATTCCCTAGAATATTTTACAGTAGTTTTTTTTTTTAATCTTTCTCATCTTTCAGACCATTTTTTTTTTTTTTTTGAAAAGAAATTGCAAAAAATAAATTGGAACAGTTTGTTTTCATTTTTATTATAAGCTTCATCAGAAAACTTTTATTCCGAGTGCTTTTTATTTGCACTTCTTTCATAATGATTGATGTTTCTTTCTTTTGAAGTTATTACGATCAAAGAAATTAGGAATGAAAAATGATCTGTCCAATTGGGATCGTTTAAGTCTGAAAGCAATTTATTATTAAATATCAGTCGTATTAATTATTGTTGAATGAAAAGAAAAACAAAGAATTTATGAAATCATCTTTTATTTATACATTTTAATATACTGCTGTGTGTGTGTGTGT